CTTCCACAGCGCCCTGGCCCTGCGTTCTTGAGATCTAGGGCCTGTTGAATATTTGCCTTCTCTGATTGCCCCCGCCGGGAGTCCCCAGTTTCTCTTTGTTCTCCTTTCTATGCATCTTCAGTGAATCGGAGCTGGTTTTCAGAGAAGTTACAAAAGACCCATCCCACTGGTAACATGATCCCTTGCCAATTCCTGCCCTTAACAGGACTGGAAACTTTCACTTTTAGCTCTCCTACCTACATGTTTTGTTGCATTCGTTTTCTCAAATATATATTTTTAAAAGGTAGAAAAGTTATATTACAAACAGCATGAAAATGTCAGAGGCTGGCAGAGCAAGCTAAATGTGTTCCGGTAGAGGTCCAGTAAGATTGGTGAAGGCAGCGCTTGTGTTGCCCTTGAAGAATGTGTCATCATCTGCTTTTACTGGCCTTATCAGCAGGGCGAAACCAATAAATCATGTGCTGCCAGCACAAGAACCAAGTGCTTTCCTCCAAGCCAGATGATTCCATTGTTGTGCTGGGCCTCTCAGGGAGGTTGTAAACATGGCATTCTCTGCCAGTAAGACACATGCTCCTCCTGTTCCTTTTTTTGTTTTGTTTTGTTTTAAGGAGACATATTGAGGTGAAATTTACATATCATAAAACTCACCTACCTTAAGTGTAACATTCAATGATTTTTTTTCTTCTAGTAAATTTACTGAGTTGTGCAACTATCACCACAAACCAATTTTAGAACATTTCCATGATCTCAAAAAGATCCCTTGTGCCCATTTGTAGTCAACCTTTGGCCCTATGCTCTAGCCCCAGGAAACCTCTAATCTGTTTTCAGTCTCTTGATATTCACTTTGTCTGGATATTCTATATAAATGGAATCATACAATTTGTGATCTTCTGTGTTTGGTGTCTTTCACTTAACCCAATGTGTTTGAGGTTCACCTAACCTAATGTGTTTGAGGTTCACACATGTTGTAGTGTGTTAACAAACAGGATCCCATTGTCTGGCTATGCCACATTGTGTTCTTCCATTCACCAATTGATGGACGTTTGAATTGTTTCTGATTTTTGGCTATTGTGAATGATGCCTTCCTATTCTTGATGAGCTAAAAATGATGATATGGAAAGAACTTGGGATTTGGAGTCAGTTCCTAGGGATTTGGAGTCAAGTCCTAGCTCTGACATTTACTACTTTAGTTAACTATAAGATGTGTTTTCTTAGTTTTCTTATCTATAGAGTGGAGATAATTAACCCCGTCCCTCCCCTATTCCTAGAGTAGCTGTAAGAATCAAGTGGGGTGATGTATGTGAAATTCTTTATGAACTGTAAAACCTAGAATAAATGAGAGACATTATTGAAGTAGTCTTCCCAGATGTATCCAAATGGTCTAGATGGTCCTCAAGATATTTTCTATATTCATAGAACAAATTATGAAGCCTTTGGCTGTAGAAAATATCTGTACTTTTCTTCTATGGACTTGGGGTTCTCATCCTTTTTCCTTTATCAAAGTCCATTATTTAAAAAAATGTTCAGATATCATTCTACCTCTCTTAAATGTACTTATATTTTAAACCTTATTTTTGATTGTCAGATAAGGTTTTCTGTTGAAGAGAGGGTCTTCAGATACTCCATAATCATTGTAGGAAGTATACAAATCATTATACTTGAAGTTCTGATTTAATCAGGGCACCCTCCAACCCACAGACTCAATTTAGTTTCTTGGGTACTTCAGGTGATTATGAAGGGCAGGCCCCCAGTGAGGGGACTGGGTGCAGAGTCGAACCTAGGTTGATGGGTTCCAATGAGTCAAAGGAAAGTCTAAGCAAATGTTGGCAGCCTCCAGTCAAAGGTGATTAAAACTGTTGCTTCACTGAAATGATATTAAACCAATGTGGGTAACCATATATGTAGGGGTATTCAGACACTCAGGAACATAGCAATTGCACAGAACATACAATTGCTGACCACTGCATGTCATGCCTGGATATTTAACTTCCACAAAACCTAGAAAATAGCTTCCATGGGAAAACAGCGTAGACTTTGCTTCAAACAGAAAGAACTGGCTACTGTTTTTCGCACACACTCAATCCAAAGGTAAGTATCACTTTTAGTGCCCTCCACATCTTCTACCTGATCCAACCATATAGGATGCTTCCAAAAAGTTTTACCTTAAATCTCATTGAGAGATTCCAGAATGGAAGATTTCCAGAGCAACAGCAATGGCTGTTCCCAGTTTCCTGGGGTCTGAAGCACAGAATGTGAGTGCCTGTCAAGTGCCTCTGATAGAATCACTGGCTAATCCAGCATTAGAACTCAGGCACTCCCAGTGCCCAGATTCAAATTACTAGACTGTCTCTTTCCCAAAACAGCAAATCCCCCAACATCTCCAGCACTCCCTGAGGTTACACAACACGGGGAACTGAGGTCAAATAAGTCTATTCCTTCTACTCATCTTCTCCCCTGAGAAGCCCTTTCTTCCCTTGACAACAATTGATAATTAAGGCTTTACTAAGGAAAAGAATATGTGGTGGGTTATTGCCTAGAGACAATTCTCAGCAAGTTTTCATTCCGTGAATGTTGTCAAAGTATTTAGAAATGACAGTGAGATGCCATATGCATTCCTAACATTTTCTTTTTGTATTTTTAGGTATAATGACAATCTACAGTCATGTACCATATGACCAAGGTTCTTGACTTTTGCAGCTCTGACATTGGCACTGCCACTATGTAGTAATAATGATGAGAGCTCAGATTTCATGTGCACTTACTCTATATTGAATATAGTACTTTAGACACTTAGTTCATGCCTTGTCCAAAACCAAGCAGCTAATAATTTGCAGAGCCTGGCTCAAAGTGGCTCATAGTCTGTTTTTATTTTTATATTTTAATGATACTATTTATCTGTATAAACTTAAGACACTGTAAAGGTAATTGATATCTTTTGTGGTATCTTTTTGTATTTTTTAAATTGACAACAATTGTATATATTTATGGTATACAACATGATGCTTTGAAGTATGTGTATATTGTAAAATGGCTATATTGAGCAAATTAACATATTCATTACCTCATATACTTTTTTTTGTCATGAGAACGCAAAATCTACTTTCTTTGAGGTTCTCAAGTATACAATGCACTATTTTAACTGTTGTCACAATGTTGTACAGTACATTTCTTGAACTTATTTCTCCTGAAATTGTGTATCCTTTGACCAACATTTCCTGAATCCCCTCTTCTCCTGCCTCCTGGTGACTGCCATTTTACTTTCTGCTTCCATGCGTTTGCTTTTTTTAGATTCTTCATATAAGTGAGATATTTGTCTTTCTGTGTCTGGCTTATTCCACTTAACATGATATCTATTTAAGTACAAAATACGTGTCCTTGCCAACTGCATTACCTACAGTACTGCAATATCATGCCATATTTCAATGCATGTGTGTATGTCTATGTGTGTATTACATATGTATGTGTGATGTACTTGTGTGTATATATGTGTATAATGTGCATATTGTTTCATAAAAAACTTGAAGCAGCCTACATTTTTAAAAAATAATTTCAACATTTATTTTAGATACGGGGGTGCATGTGAAGGTTTGTTACATGGTTATATTGCATGATGCTGAGGTTTGGGGTCTGGATCCCTTCACTCAAGTAGTGAGCATAGTACCCATTAAGTAGTTTTTCAACCCCTGCCCCCTTCTGCCTTCCCCCTTCCTCCCCCCCTCCTCTTCCTGCCCCCTCCTCCCCCTCCTCACCCTCCTTCCCTTTCCCCCTCCTTCCCCTTCCTCACCCTCCCTCTCCCTCCCTCTCCCTCCCTCTCCTCCTCCTTCTCCCTTTCCCCCTCCCTCCTCTCTCTTCCTCCCCACCTTGCTCTATGTAGTAGTCCACAGTATCTATTGTTCCCATCTTTATGTCCATGTGTACTCAATGTTTAGCTTCCGCTTATAGGTGAGAACATGTGGTACTTGGTTTCTGTTCCTGCATTAATTTTTGTGGGATTATGACCTCCTCCAGCTGCATTCATGTTGCTGAAACAGCTTATAATTTTTATATTCCTAAGTAATTTCTGATTGGAAGGTGACTATATACATAAGAGTATGAAACTTGAAACCAAAATTTGCATAGGAATTTCTGGTAAAAGGTCAGTGACAAGAGAAAGGCTTACATACGTATGTTCTCTGTGTCATAAGATACTCCATCTTGTTAGAGTTTCCGTGCTGTCTGTCCCAAAGTTTCTGGTTGTTCAAAAGCCTGCATTAAAGGCGGCGTTACCTATGAATATTTGCTGCACATTGATACAATCGTTTTCACATCTTCTGCACTGACACCCTATTACCGGGAAGCATGTTCTGTGGCTAATTAACGTGATTAAATCATATTTTTCAGGAGGCACTTGGTTTCAATGTCCTTCTTAAAATTATCTTTAGCCAGAAATGGGGATCCTATTTAATGATGGCCTATGGAAAGATAAAACATGCTTAATGAGAGTTCAGATCGGCTTTTTTCCACCCGGACTCTCTGTGTGATACAAAACAAAATCCACAGGGACTAAAACAGTCACAGACATCTTGGCAACATGGGGGAAGATGGCATCCAAACTCTGCCATGTTGATTCCACAGTGGTTAGACAGGCTCCACTGTAGAATGTTTGGCTTCTTCTAATGCTGACTGGGTAGGAGCAGCTGTTACCCTTTCCCGGATAAAGTGACATACTCTAGAAGAAACAGAGTCCTAATGAGATGGAAATTAATTCCTTTTTCCATCCAGCCATCTCAAAAACAAATACACTGCTAGAAAAACCCAAAATATGGTGAGCAAAAGATCAAATCTGATTTAGATACAGCAATTGCTTCTTTTTCATAAGACGCATTTTTCTCTTGCTTCATAAATGCCAAAAAACCCACTTTTAAAACCCATAGCATGTGCAGTTAATTCATATCTTTATATCCAAGTATTTTTTGAATATTATCTATACAAATATATATCAAATAAAATGTCAAAGCTTTAGTGAGCAAAAGTTTAATATATGACGTATCATAAAACGGACTTATAACCTCAATATGATTTTTTATTAGAGTAATATTTTTAGGTAACAATACATTTAACCACATCTAAGAGTACAACACAAGAATAATAAAATCTTGTATACAAGATGTTACAATTAAAGATAAATACATTACAGTTTAATTTACATATAAAAATGTCCTCTAGGGAATACAAGAAGTTAAAATTATAGCCCTAATTGTACAATTTTTTCATACTTATTTATCTTTCAAAGGTAACTAAAGCTAAATACAACTTGAAAACTTTACAGACCAGTGAGATATTACTGTTGAAAGAATATAGTAACAAGGTAAAAATAAATATAAGAAAAACACACTATTAAAATCTAAGAAAAATAACATTAAATAATTACATTATAAGAATACATAACTCACTCAGAAATTTAAAACTATTATTTCACCATGATGTCACTGATTATTTTTGTCACTTATTCAATGTATTTCAACAAATAATTATTGAACTCCATGCTCTAGGGAATGTGTTTGGCCCTGAGAAAGCACTGGAAAACAAAACAAAGATAGAACCTGCGCTCATAGAGCTTATAGTCTAGTGGGAAGACAGCAGGGAACACAGGCAGCTGTAATATAGCATGACAAGTTCTGTGCTTAGGTTTCCCATCCTAGAGGAAGCAACATCTCAGCTGAGACCTATAGGGTAAGAGGGATTTGATCAGGTGAAAGGGTGCAGAAAAAGTGGAAAGAGAGTTCCAGATGAGAGAAGGAAATGCAAAGACCCTGAGGTTAAAATAGAGCATGGTCTATTCTACAGCAGTGGTTGCCCATACAAAGGTCCTCAGATATTTGATGGCCCACAGTGAAATTCTCACTCATTAGTGGAGAAATGAGAGCAGTGTGAGGTCTTTTCAAAGTAAAAGTCATTCAACTTGAATGACTGAGTTTACAACCATCTTATTTTCTGGCATTAAAATGACCCTTCTTTTATGAAATGATGGTGATAGTAGATGGTATTTCTTAATGACTCTTTTTGAAAAATCAACACAACAAAACCTGTTGGTGTATGACACCTTAAAGTCTGGGGATCACTGTTTAAAAAATACAATTCTAGAAGGTTCTAGGGAAGGGAGGAAAGGGAGACATCTAGAGATGAGGCTAGAGAAGAAGGCAGGAGTTAGATCATGAAAGTTCAAGTGAGAACATTGGAATTGAAGAGCAATGGGAATGATCTTAAGCAGAGAAGAGAAAGTCTATTATATTAGTAAAAGGCTATTCTGAGATGCTGTGTGTAGAAAGTGTCTGGGACAGGGCAAGACAGAGGCAGGGGAGCCAGATAAGCAGCACTGTATTATCCAGGGAAAAAGAAGATAATAGACTTAGGGCCAAATGGGGGTGGGGTTGAGGGGTGGTGAGTGGAAGATGACTTCAGGAGACAAACTTAATAATATTTGGTGATTTGTCTTATTGGGTAAGGAAAATGGGATTGTCAAGCCTAACGTCCAGGCTTTTTTCTTTGGAAACTGAACTGAGTATTGTGCTAACTATTGAGCTCAAGAAAGAGCTTTTTTTTTTTTTTTTTTTTTGAGTTCATCTGGGGACATGTTGAATTTGAGGTGTCTCTGTGTTCAAATGTTCACTAGGTCAATTGTCTACATAGGTCGGGAGAACATGAGAGAAAGAGTTGAGCTTCGGATAGAAATTTTGTAGTCTCTAGCAAAATGATTAAGACCATGGATGTGAATAAAATTTCCCAGAGAACAAAGCAAAGAGGGCTTAGGATATATAACTTAAAGAACAAAGAGAAGAGGGCTTAAGATATACAACTATAAGATTGGCTAGAGATGAGCTAGGCAGAAAGAAGCCAGAGACAGAGTGTCTAGGGAGGTGGGAGGACACCCAAGAGAACAGGTTTTGCAAGAAACAAGGAAAGAGGTATCATTTCAAGCAAGGAACAGGCAACAATGTTGAATGCTGTAGGAATCAATTGGAAGAGGGACTAAAGAATGTTCACTGAATTTAGCAACAAAGAGATTGTCAGGGACCTTGAGAAAAGCAGTGGAGGGGTAGATGCCAGATCACAGTCTGTGAACTTACAGGCAGGAGGAGCTCTTTTACACAGCAAGACCTTGAGAGACAGGAGAATCCGACCAACAACTGGCAGATGTGGGTTTGAGAAAGTGGTTATCTGTTTTTTAAACATAGAGACTTGATGTGGATATTGTAGGAGCCACTTGATAGAGAGAGTTTGATGACTTGTAGCAAACAAAGATACAAATCTAAGTTCAAAATACTATCTTTAAAAAATGCTAATGTCTTTAAAGACATAAATCATGGTGTTCCCGTAAGAACACATGATACAACTATAAAACTGTCAATGCATTTAGATACACTTTACAATTAAGGATTAAGGATGTAAAATAGTTACAAGAAATTATCTGAGGGAATCACATTTCAAAATATTTTTTAAAATCACATTTTAAAATATTAAGTTATGGCAATTTTAGCTCTTGTCCATAGAGATCATACTCTTTAAATAATATGTATCTTTGAATAGCTGGTGGTAGAGGAAGCTTCTCCATTGAGGCTGGCTGGCAGAGTTTCTGGAGACCCATAAGTCTTCGAATTTTTAACCGACACAAATGCTTCAATGAACAAGGATTCTCTAAAAGGAAAATAAGCAAAAAAAATTTTTTAAATAGTGGCTTGACCCCTAAGATACAACTATTTAGAATAACATGAGTAGTGTATTCTGAAAAACATGTATGCACACTTTAGCAATGTGATTTTAAGTGAAATTCAAATTGTAATTGAACATTCTAGTCTACTCCTCTAGAATGTAAGTTCCACGAGGGCAGATATTTAGTCTGTCTCCGTGCCAGGAAGAGAGTCTGGCTCATGGTAGGTGTTCAACTAGAATTTGTGGAATTAATAAATGGACTTAAGAAAGCAAATGCTCACATCTCTTCTTTATTTTTTAGAGCTAAGTATTACAGAGATAGATTTCTTTACTTTCTTTCTCCTGCCAATCTGTCTGATAAATAATTATCCATGAAACATAGATGCAGATGATTCCACATATCATGAATAATCCAATCTGCGTTTTGTTTCCAGTGTCTGATACTTAAACCTTGTATATTCTCAAAAAATATACTAACATTATTTAAATATCTGATATTTTCAATTCTTACTTTATCTATATTATAATTGCAAGATTGATATTTTATAGCAGCAATATGAATGAATGAAGGAGCAGCATAGCATTCAGGCTTAGATGTGAGCTCTGGACCTGGTCAGCTTGGATTAAACTCCTAGCTCTGCCCCCTAATATTTGTGTGACCTTGGGCAAATCACTTGATGTCTGTGAGTTTGGTATTCCCATCTGTGAAATAAGGATAACAACAGTACTTATCTCATAGGGTTGTTTGAAGATTAAACAAGTCATGTAAAGTATTATAAAAGTGCTCAGTACATTGTAACCATTCGATAAATATTAACTGTCATTCAATGCAATAATAAACATGATCACATCTCAATTACGTTCGATGATATAAACAATTTATCTTTTAAAATGAAAAACAATGTTCTCAAAAGTTATTGATGCAACATTACCAAAATAAGCAGAAAAAAAAATCTAAAAAAAAAGTACAATTTTTTTTTTCCTAACAAATACGCTGCCTTACAGATAGCTGGAGGACTCCTGACATCCAGTGGTTAATCACACTCATAGCAATCAACTGGCTTCGACTCTAGTCACAATAATATATGATGGAAACAATAAAAAACCTTTCTGCCCTTATTCTTACTTGGATTGTCTTTCCAAAGTCATCAGAATTGGTAAGTATTTTGCAAAAAAAAAAAAAAAGTGAGCAATCAATTTCCATTTAGAAGCAAAATCTGTTCTTTCTATGACAGGAAGTATAATGGTATCGTAGAGTCTGTGTTTTCAAGTAAGACAAACAAGAGTTCAAATCTTCACTTTGTTATTTTCTATGTCTATTACTTTGAGAAATTAATTTATCTAAGCCTCAGCATTTTTCTCCCCTTTGCAATCTTCAAGCTAAAAAAAGAAGGTTTTAAGTTTTTTATTGCAAAATAAAATAAAGTACACATGTATAGTTTCATAAGTTACATAAGTAATTATTGATTGAACATCTATAATCACCTCCTAGGTCTATAGGAAATAGGACTTTGCCAGAGACCAAAGAAATTCTTCTACAATCCATCCTTCCTTATTCCTTTCCCCTGCCATAAATAACTACTCTTCTGACTTGTAATCACTTTCTTTAGAGTTTCGTCATCTAAGTGCACTATGCCTGCACTATAGTATTGACAATATATTTTTAAAATTTTTACTATGTCCTTTAAGTCTTTTCTAATCTGCAGGTTATGCTCTCCATCCCCTTCTTGTCCTTTCAACTAATCTTTGAAGAACCCAAATGCTCTGTAGTTTCCCACAGCCTGAACTTTGCTGATTGCATTTTCATGGTGCAGTTCCATGTCCCACTGTCTCCTCTATTTCTTGCAAATTGGTAACTGGCTCCAGATACTTAATCAGGCTTGGGTTTGATCTCTTTGGCAAAACTATAGCTAGTTCTGTGTTCATTCTTTGGGGGCTATGTTGATTCTCATTGACTACATCCATTAATTTATTGGGGGCTATATAATGGTGGTATCTAATTATATCTTTTAAAATTATTTAGAATACTTTTATAAAGGAAGGTTTTTGCTCATCTACTCTTTAGTTACTAATGGCACAGTTTATATATATATGTGTGTGTGTATATTAAAGCAGAATAAATGCTTAAGTCTTTCTTTTTACAAGTTTTTAAGATAATGAGTTGATTTTCTATCATCTTCTGGAGCTGACCAGTTTTTAAAATAAATGTATATTTAATAAATCATTCTATTGTAAAGATACAAGCACACGTATATTCATTGCAGCACTATTGCAATAACAAAGACATGGAATCAACCTAAATGCCCATCAACAAAATTTGGTACATATACACCATAGAATACTATGCAGCTATAAAAAGGAATGAGATCATGTCCTTTGCAGGGACATGGATGGAGCTGGAAACCATTATCCTCAGCAAACTAATGCAGGAACAGAAAACCAAACACTGCATGTTCTCACTTATAAGTGGGAGCTGAATGATGAGAACACACAGACACGTGGAGGGGAACAACACATACTGGGGCCAGTCGGAGGGTGGCTGGGGGAGTTTCGGCATCAGGAAGAATAGCTAATGGATGCTGGACTTCATATCTAGGTAATGGAATGATCCGTGCAGCAAACCACCATGGTACATGTTTACCTGTGTAACAAACCTGCACATTCTGCACATGTACCCTTAAAATTTAAAATACAAGTTGAAGGAAAAGAAAGAAAAAAAAGAAAAGAAACCCACAAATCATATATTTAAATAGATTGGTTTTAATTCATTGAAATCATTACCCTTTTTGAAACTTAAATTGTCCCATCTTTGGCCAGTTGGAGCCTCTTCAAGTTAGCCCCTGAATTCTTTTGTCATGAATCGTGTAGTCTTTGCTTTCTTTGCTTTCTGGTATGACCAGATGTTCCAGGTTCATCTTAATCATTTCCTTCCCCAGATGCAATCATCCATTTCTCAAAAACAAAACAACCTCCAGCAAAAACCCTGGTTTCTTTTCGTAGGAAATGGCATTTCCAGGCCAAAATCTGTGTCGTAGGAATGCTCATTGCTACTGGGTTTATCATTATTTCTAAGACTTATCTGTAAACAGACAGATGTACACACACACACACACACACACCCCTGACATACACACCCCCACCCCCCACAGCATAGTCCTCATGCACACAGATGCTTTCAAGATACAATAGCTTATGAGTTTATATTGTTACTTCTAATTCAAATTCAGGACTACAGGATTTTTCTTTAATCGCTTCTCTATTACATCTGTATTTTCTTTCTGACACACTGACAATCTTTGGTTTCAAGGATACAAAGAATGGAATTGTAATGTTCCTTAATTACTCATTTGCTGAATATATCTCTCATCCTCAGCATAACAATATTAATATTATATCACCATCAATATTTTAAGATATTTAAAAATATGTATTTTAATTATTAAGTATTATTTAATCTACTTACTAATATTAAAAAATGAATAATTGTGCTGTATCTGTCTTATCAGCGCATATAACCATTACGTGTTGCATCTTCTCCCTTTTAACTCTCACTTAGTCTTGGCATTCTGTTTAGTGTTAGTCCTGTTTAATACTAGTTCTCATGCTGATATCTCACTAATCATTTTGGGTTGTCTAAAGGCCATTTCTTAGTGGATCATTCAGACATCAGTAAGAGGAACAATATTTCCTGAGTTCTTGCATACTGACAACAGTTTGCCTACATTGATCATTGGAAGTCAATTTTGCTGTGTAAGCATCCTTGGCTCACATTTTCCTTCCATGAAGAGTCTTAAATATGTGACTCCATTTTCCTTTGGCATAAAGTATTGTTGATGAAAAGTTTAATAATAATCTATATTTTCCCTTATAAGTCACTTGTTCTTTTTGCCTATGTGCCCAAAGGATATAGTATTTTGTATATTATAGTTTCAAATCTTTCTTTTTTATTACAAGTTTTTCTTGAAACTTAGTTTTTTGTATTTGTTATGTTCTCTTGATTTGGTTTTCCTTTTCAAGGAATCTTATCCATGTATTGACTATTCATTGTCGTCAATGTTTTTAACTGTCTTTCAAATCATTTTATCTAAGCTACAAGGATGCAAAAGCATAAGAATGATACAATGGATTTTGAGGACTCAGGGGGAAGGTTGGGCCAGGGATAAAAGAGTATACATTGGGTACAGCGTACACTGCTTAGGTGATTAGGTGCACCAAAATCTCAGAAACCACCGCTAAACAACTTATCCATATAACCAAACACCACCCGTTTCCCCAAAACCTATTGAAATAGACAAATATATATATATATATATAAAAATCCTTTTATCTATTTCTTCATTTATATTTGATTTAAACTTTTTCTTTCATATCCTCTTATAACTCTCAATGTATTGTCGACTGTGTTGCTAGTTCTTGTTTTCATTCTAGTTCAGTCTTCACATTTGAAATTAATTTTTTCTAATTTTTATTCCTCATTCTTTCCTCGGTTGTTACCTGATTTCTGAATTTTTCAAATTTTGACTCATGTTGTTCATTCATATCTGATATTATTTTCCTCATGCTTTTTAGCTCATTTTGAAATAGCAGGTTTGAATTTTGATTGTTCGGAGAGTGTGTTTTTTTAGTTACGTATTCATTGCCCGTGGGGATATCATTCTGTTCTTTCTATTTTTTCTTACTATTATGGGATTTGACTGTGATATTTTCTGTTGTTCATTTTTATTTGCATTTAGTTTTCTTGAATTTTTAGAAGGATGCTTCGTAGCAGATAGCTCTTCTAACTTTACAGAGCTTCTTACTCTATTATTTTCTTGCAATGACCCAAAATATGGTGGTTAGATCTCTGCGGTTTCCTGGCTCTGTCTGCCACCCCCACTTTTTTGTGGGTCCTTTCTTGTTTCTGTCCTGCTTGATTTTTGATTTTACTCTCAATGAGACCTAAGTCCAGGAAGGGAACTTAGAGAAGTGGTTTTCAAGAATGCATAGAGTCTAGACTATTTTGTAATTTCCCTTAGCCTTAGCTTTTTATTTGTAAAAAATAAGCATGGTAATACTTAACTCTACAATATTTCATAGCACACTGTACATATACATTTCAGATACCTCACATGAACTTACCATGTAATAAAAACATAAAAATGCTACTTTAGTTTTAAAACTAACTAAATTTATTAAGTAATTTAAATATTCTAGACACTAAGCACCTTATATGCATTATTTCTTTAGATTCCCACAACCACCTATGAGGTTAATACTATCCTACATCTACTTTGCAATGGGAAAACCTAGGCATAAGAATAAGTAACTTGCTCAAAGTCACACAACTAGAATGTCTATCTTGGTCTTTTTATAGGAAATAAAAAATCTTCTTCCACTTAGAGAAGCAAAAATGGTAACAATAAATTGTTGCTTTTTTTTCATGAAAACATCAGTCCTGAATTACATATGCATTTTATAATCTAGCAATCCTACTCCGAGGCAAGGCCAGAATTCCATTTCATTCTAGGTCTATCTGACCCCAGAGCTCAATTTCTGGGCTAACAACACTATATTACTCTTCAGATTCTCCAAGTTTCCTGTTTTAGTTGCCGCAAAATCTCTTCTATTATAGAACTAATTCCAAGAGAAGGCTGATTCAGGTATATTAAAGATGCCAAATTATTTAGATGTCATATAAAATTCTATAATGCTTCTTTAGGCTTCATGAAATTGATGTCCAACTAGTTTTTGAAAGTTTATTTTCCCAAACTCATATTTTGAAAGTGAAAGCATCTCAAATCTATGATATTTTTCTGGGTTTTATTTGTATTTGGATTATTTTAAAATGTACTTTCACTGAAACTTGTATAATTCATTTTCATGATAAACTTTCATCTAGAAAAGACAAAGTGGCCTGTCTATAAATACTAACCTATGATGATAGGACTTTGTCAATAAAGACCTCAGAGAAAGCATGTCAAAAAGAATAGTTCTAATCCCTTCCATTAATTCATTTACTCCATATTTATTGAAATGTACTACTTATTAGGCACTATGCTAAGCCTTGAGAATATAACAAGAAATAAAGTAGATCTCTAGCCACGTGGAGCTTGCAGTCTACATATTGTATGATATTATAGAAGTTAATTTTAAAAATAAATTGCAATCAGTACGTTAATATAGTTGTAGTATTACTCATTACACAATTACAAAGCCGGAAAATAAAAAGAAAAATGAAAATATGTATCTTACAACAGAGGAGGTGTTAAGGATGATTTTAAAACCCAGATAATTCTGGAAATACAGTAGAGTAGCACAGAAAAAGTATCTAAGAAGACATTAAGAAATTTCCCCCATATGTGTTCTTAATTTAAAAATTGTAGGTGAAACTTTTGGTTTTTACCTAGTATTTGGCGGATTTCTGGCCATTCTCTCTGTACTTCTAGTGCAGACTTCAGTTTAGCACACAGAGGAACATAATCCATGTAATCTATTAGTATGCGAGTAACTCTGCCTACCAAGTGCTTCATCCAAGGAACTGTAATAAACTCACAGAACTGAGAGAATTGATAAAATTTAATTTAGTAATATTTTTTAATATACCATATACATAAACACTCAATTGTGTTATGGAAAAATTACTCTTTGTCTTATTACAGAAAATAAAAGATCCCTCCTTGTAATGAACAAAAATTAAAAATAAATTGTTTGCTTCTCTCTGTGAAACCATCAGCCCTGAAGACTCGCCTGGCTTTGATGTGACTGTGGTCAGCAAAGCATGGAGGAGTCACGCTTCTTTCCATCTGGCCCCAATATTCCACCAAACAGGCAGAAGTGACTAATTGCCTACATTTTCACATTCTTCTACATTCAGTTTTCAAGTCAAGAAAAAACAAACAGCATCTTTTTTTTTTTTTTGGCGGGGGGCTAGATTTATGCTTATATCCCCATATCATTGCAAACAAAAGTTGAAGAAAAACTAAAATAGAAAAATTAGAGTTTATTTTTCTTGTCTTGTAACATCCCTAATTGAATGAATGGGTCTTAAATTAGGATGATGACCCAATATAAAGCAGAAAAGGCGTAACTCACCGGGTTATCTTTTATTACACAAGATGTCCATCCTGGCAGCACCTCTTCCTCTATCTCTGACCACACAAATGAATTTCCAAAGATGTCACCATGCATGCAGTCAAAGCACATCTCCACTTGATAGCCATTATTCAGCAATAGCCTCAGCATTACCTCGTCGTTTAGGGCATACTGAATGACACTGGGGAAACGAGTGTCATTCACATGCATAAAATAACAATTGACATTGGCACCATGGGAGAGAAGCAGCCGGACAATTTCATAATTATTGGCCCTCACTGCCACAAGTAGGCAGTTGAGGGGATCTAAGTTTGGGTCTGCACCTGCAGCCAGTAGGACTTCTGTGCAACGAACATCATTATTAGAAACGGCAAAATACAGCGCAGTCTTCCTCTCATCGTCATAGCTCTGGGAAATGTGGTCAGCAAGTAGAGTGTTGACATCAAAACCATTTTCAATGAGCAGCTCTAGACACTGTGCACTTTGTCCATCTGCTGCTGAGTGAATTGGTGTTAGCCCACTTTTCCGAATTGCATTTTTAGATGTTGCTGGGATAAGATATTTCAGTGCACTAAAAGAAAAAAAGTCAAATATCTACGTGCCATAAAGAAAATCAAGAAATTAAATAAACTACCATTCTCACTAGATAAGTGAATGCAAATCATATAGTTTCCCTTATTTTCTCTAGATAACTTTGTACTAAAACATTTAACCTTTGTCTGCGAGGTACAACTATTTAGTTTAGTGTAATGTAGCTCAGTTTTGATTTAGCTTTCTGTTCTAAATATTCCTAGGAAACTGCATCTTATACGTTTTTTCCTAGAATTGTGGTTCCTCGGGAACCCTCCCCATCTTCCAATTCTCCTCTGAACAATATAATATTTACAGACAACCAATACTATTTTTAAAAATATAGGAGAAAAGTAAGCCTTCTAATGCCATAGAGGACTGTTTCGTAATCTTGACCATTAGGATCATGGGGTCATAGGAAGTGACGCTGGATGTCATTTAGTCCAACTGCTTCATTTAATAGAACAATCTGAAGTCTGAAGAGGCAAAATGATTGTCCAAGGTCACACAGTTAGATGTAGAACAGGACGAGAATTTGGGCCTTTTCGAATTCTTATGAATTATTTCTCTTTCACTAATTCCTACACAATCTATTTTTAAATATTGACCATGTACATTCTGTCTGCTTCCATATAACTTGCAATTGAATTATTAGCCAAAAGAAGAGTCTTTAATATTCCATCAACCTTGCATCAGTCCAATTGAGATAACCAACCACAGTTTATATTTCTAAGTACATGTGATATAGTTGTGAGTTTCACACTTGACTAACCAGCTAGACATGTATGAGAGCCACATGGCAAGGATAACCTGATCTCTTGTGCCTACTTTATGAATTTATGAACACTGGGATTAAATCCAAGTAAACTCTAACAACATGTCACTTACCATCAATTATGCATCACTGGCCACTTAGCCAATGGCCCACTGAAAACTATAAAGCCCAATTACTTCAAAGTTTTTGATCTTATGAAATATATTTAATTGCCTAAAACCATCTTCTCATGGTGGGTAGTTTAATATAGTGATCTAGATTTCTACCAATGTGTTAATTTTGTACGTTTTGTGATTTAAGAATCTATTCAACCATTTGTATGGAATGAAGAATTCTAAACTTATAACGAAACTTTTCTGTTCAAGAATATATTTGACATTATACTATAATATCTTGGATATGTTAGGAAATAATTGGAATAACACTGATAGTATCGTTACAAATTTTAATCCTTTGTCAAGGGCAAAATTTTTAGAAACTCTGTAGCCTTTTGTTAAATACGTTTGTAAACAAAAAGGCACTCTTGAGTGGCTTGTGGAGAATTCTCACTTATGGCTTAACTCCTTCTAAAAGAAAATTTCTTTTCATTATAAAAGTACTATAAATTCATTTTTTGGAAGTACAAGAATATCAAAAGGAGGAAAATTAAATGAGCTCTAGATATCTAAATATGGAGCATCAAAACCTGAAGATTATGCCTATTTCTCCTCAGATTTTGAAAGGTATTACATATAGACTTGTGATTATACTGTATATACAAATTTGCATTTTTAACTCAAGTAATTATCCTATAATTTATCACTCACAGATAATGCCCCTCATAGGCAGCTCGGTGTATAGGAAGATGCCCTGCTCGATTAGGTACATTTCCGCTTCCTCCATATTCCAGCAGGAGGGAAATGCAGTCGGGATTGCCACCTCCTGCTGCCTCAAACATCACCGACGCCCCATCATCCGCCAAAGCAAGCACATCACCACCTGGCCGTATAAAACATGTGGCATGATGATAACTGGATGGTATTGTTTAAACAATCCCCTTAAAAACAACCTGTTGTGGGACTCGGTGCAGTGGCTCACGTCTGTAATCCCAGCACTTTGGGAAGCTGAGGTGGGCGGATCATGAGGTCAGGAGTTCGAGGTCAGCCTGGCCAACATGGTGAAACTCTGTCTCTACTGAAAATACAAAAATTAGCTGGGCATGGTGGCACACGCCTGTAGTCCCAGCTACCCAGGAGACTGAAGCAGGAGAATCACTTGAACTGGGAAGTGGAGGTTGTGATGAGCCGAGATCACGCCGCTGCACTCCAGACTGGGTAACAGAGTGAGACTCCATCTCAAAAACAAACAAACAAACAAACACCCCCCACAAAGCCTGTTGTGTTCATTTCTGGTTAGGACTTAAAAAGTACAGAATTAAGGGCCTCTATGTTTTCTCTATTTTCAATAAAACAGTCATGAATGCCTCACGCTTCGTTTTATTAGAAAATCTTTGGGCCAAAAATCATGGGAGAAATGAAGTCAATTTTCTTGATAGGCAAATTCTTCCGAAAAAGGCTCATTAGACTTTTTAATTTAAAGACAAGAATTTTTTGGTTTTTTTGTTTTGTTTTGTTTTTTGAGACGGAGTCTCACTCTGTCGACCCGGCTGGAGTGCAGTGGTGTGATCTCAGCTCACTACAGCCTCCACCTCCTGGGTTTAAGCAGTTCTTCTGCCTCAGCCTCCTGAGTAGCTGGGATTACAGGCGTGTACCATCACAGGGTTTTGCCATGTTGGTCAGGCTGGTCTCCAACTCTAGGCCACAAGTAATCTACCCACCTTGGACTTCCAAAATGCTGGGATTACAGGCATGAGCCATGGCACCCGGCCCCCTCTAGTTTAACTTAACAAATACTTACAGTTAATAAAGTGTTAACAAATACTTTATTGCCCTCTTATGTGCAATCAGTGTGTGTGACCCCAAGAAGAATAAGTGTGACTACTCTAAGGAGATTAGAGGGGAAATGAAACAAAATATCAGACAGCACAAACTGTTTGATATTCCAGTGACTCTGACATTAAGACAAGGAGACATGATGTAGGGGACAGGGGCTCTGCTGCTTATGGTGAGAGCTGGGGGCCAGCCGTTTACTTCCGTGCACCTCCATCTCCACATCTGTGAATGATTAATGCAGCTTACTTCACAGGGCTTATTTGATACTTAAATGTGCTTGTATTGGGAGACCTCAAAAATGTTAGTCTTTTTCCCATAGGGAATCACTGGGGATCATGTGGTGCTAGCATTCGTTTGCGGATGAGGACGCTGAGAACCAGATATTGAAGGAACAAGGCTAGGGACTCACAGTGAGTAGTGGCTCAACCAGTTTAGGAGTTAGGTCTCCTTAACTCATGGTTCTGTAGTTGTATAAAGCACCTGGAGAGTTTAAAGGAGGGCAATGTCACAATCTGGTGGGAAGAATTAGGAAAGGATTTAGGGAGTAGGTGTCTCAAGAGATTGACTTTGAATTGTGCTGAAGAGATGAAGGCAAGGAGCTGACCCAAACCCAGAGAGAAGGAATGTAAGGTATGTTTGGGAATATTGCTAGTGTATTTTGACTGGAGTGTAGGATACAAGATGGGAGCAGTGAGGGATAAACGTGGTAAAACAATTTGAGATGATGCAGTAGGGATTATTTTTTGGATAGTTGACACTATTGTAGCTGTCCTTTAGGGAGGGAAGACAAGTTGCAGTATGTACTGTGATTCTCTGATGGGAGACTAGAAACCCAGAAAATGGTTAGAAAGTATTTGCACTGGTCCAGGGAGGATTGAGGGACCTGATCAGGATGGCAGATGGATTGCAATGAGAGGACAAGAGAAACGCTACAAGAGTTTGCAACTGATTGGATTTAGGAAAGCAGGTGATGGAGGAATTAGAGATAAACCCAACCTTTTGATCCTGTCAAGAGCAATAATTACATCAGAAAAGTGGAAAAACAGGAGGAATTCAGTTTAGGAGAAGATGAACATGAGGCCCTGATGAGCCATCTATGTGCAGATTGAACTGTCTTTCTCGAGAGCAATCAGAACTGGGCTGGTAAATGTGCAGGTCACAATGCATAGGGCTTAGCTGAGTTGTAGAATAAGGGTCTATCGAGGGACCAGGTGAGAAAATCTGATGTCAAGTTCCGTTTAGCAGAGGAAAAGGAGCTCCCCTAGTTACATTCAGGGGAGGAAGAGTGAGGAGAAAAGGAGAGTTCGAGAGGCAGGACAAAAGTCAGGAAAGTGTAACTCCTTTTCACATACCTTTGTGGATCAGATGTTCTAACACATCACAGTGACCATATTCGGCAGCAACGCCTAATGGTGTGACTCCAAATCCATCTCTCAGGTGGACATTGCCTCCGTGTTTTAGCAGTAGAGATATGATATCTTTTCGGCCTTGCTTGGCTGCTTCATGCATTGCTGACCATCGCTTGGCACAGGGCTGGTCCAGACTGGTGTTGTGTTTGATCAGAGTTGATACCATGTCATAGGAGCCCTTTTTGACAGCTTGAAAATGATTGTTAAAAACAACAGTAAGTATATTAACACAAATACTTTAGGGGGTATTAAACTAATTACTGAATTTAACATTGAAATAGATACTAGCTAATAATTTTTTTTCTACAAGGAAAATAATGTATTTCTCATATCCCTTCTATTTCTCATACCCAAGTTTATATTTGTGAAATATAAGTTTACAAGATGACACTACCTTTCCTTTAAGACCTGGAGGAGGGGTAAGAGTTTCACAGAAAATAACATATATCACCAGGATAGGATGCTCTGTGCCCTCTTTCTAAACTTTAATTTCTTCACCAACAGAATGGAAATAACATTTGTTGTTGGGTTATACAAATTAAATAATGCATGTAAAATTCTTAGTGTAGTACCTAGTATATAACAGGAGCTCAGTAACTGACTATTATTATTATTCGATCGCTCTTAGGATCCGGGAACCTCATATGTAAATAATGTTCATCAGGTTTCCCCTATAGAAACAGGTTTTTTTCCCTCGCCACAAAAGATAGCAGTAAGTATTGAATGAACTTGTCTTTCTTACATATATATTTTCTTTCTTTCTTTCCTTTTTCTTTTTTTCTCTTTTCTTTCCTTTTTTTTTTTTTTTTTTTTTTTTTTTGAGACAGAGTCTCGCTCTGTCGCTCAGGCTGGAGTGCCGTGGCACAATCTCAGCTCACTGCAACCTCCACCTCCTGGGTTCAAGCAATTCTCCTGCCTCAGCCTCCTGAGTAGCTGGAATTACAGGTGCATGCCACCAAGCCTGGCTAATTTTTATATTTTTAGTAGAAACAGGGTTTCATCATGTTGGTCAGCTGGTCTCAAACTCCTGACCTCGTGATCTGCCCACCTTGGCCTCCCAAAGTGCTGGGATTACAGGCGTGAGCCACGGCTCCCAGCCCTCTTTCTTGTATTTTTAATGGGTGATTATCAATAAGATCGTTTAGAATCTACATAGGCCAGTTGCTCCCAGTGAGTGAAGTGAGGGCTAATGTAGTACTTAAGGAGGTTCACCAAATCAGTTGTCTCTCTCCTTCTCTGCTCGTCTCTAATGGCTGAAATTATACTGTTACAAGGTTTTTCCCCTTTTGGATTATTAAGAGATTGTCCCCATTTAGATGTATACACTTCTAAAAATGTAACTTTTTTTTTCCTTGTAAGTAAAATCTTATTAAAAAACAGATTAGGATGAGCGCTACCCCCTACAAATGACGATATACACAGTCACATTCACTCATTCATTCGTTCACTCGCTCATTTACTATTCAGTTAATACGGCTGGTTCTGCTAAAGGCTCCGTGTTATGCTCTGTGGACAACAGGAAGAATAGACAGATTTGGATTTCACTCGTAGAGTTTACGGCCTAGAGAAGAAGCCTATGCTACCTTCTATTTAAAGAGAGACTCAAAGTGTGGGCCTATACTGGCAAACGTAGAAGAAGATGTGAGGCCGCATGGAACATTCCGGGGTAACCAGGAGGCAGAATGCAGAAAGGATCTAAAGCCAAGGCGAGGAAAGCAGCTCCCAATGTGGTAATGGGAGGGTGAAGACAAACTTTGCCTACTTCATTTGGGAGCAGGCAAGCTATCCCTGCAGGAGATTCCAGTTTCTCTCCCTCTTCTTGTCTAAAGTAGAACCTGTTGACAAATGCCTCTCTCTGAATTGCCCAACTGTCACTGGCAGCTCTAATTACAGTGAATTACCTCATGCTAGCTGGTGTTATTGCAGAGCAAACATCACGTAAACTAAACAAACTAAGAGATCCTTATGGATCTTCTTGCTCTGATGGCAGTTTTTATAATTAGAGAAAAAAATGTATTAAAATAATGAGCCTCTTTGCTCATCATCTTTTAACCTTTTGTCTGACTCAGAAAACATATTGATTAAAATAGTTTCTCTTCATGAAAATAACTGCATAAGTGTGTCATCTTCAACTTAAAATCGTTTTTAAAAAATCATAACTTCACTTCCAATTTAGTTTTATGAAATCAAGAATATATTTCCCACAGAAAGAATAATGCAAATAGTAGGAAATCCCTTCCAAACTAACTCACGAAGACATTCTTAAGCAATAAATGACTGAAATATTGAAAACTCATAAAGCATGGTACTGGTGTAACTTAACTGATTAAGTAAAATAATTGTAAAATGTCTTGTTTTACATATGGATATATATGTTTACGTATTATATATAAATTTTTTTCTCTAGAACTTAAAATTCTAAAATTTAGAATTCTTTAGAATTTTTTTCAGAAATGTTCAAATTCTTTATTAAGTTTTTAAATTTATAGCTTCAATAGTAATGCTTAAAACTGACTTTCAGTTGAAGAGTTTAGGGAATTAGATTAAGAATTTTGCATAGATGATAGGAAAGGGTTATCTTGATTATCTTGACAAGGACTGGTGGATTAAAAGCAGAAATGGAGTGAAGAGGATGTGTATTGATTTGTGAGAAAGAAAATGTCTGAAGCAAAATGAACCGATCTGTGAATGGCGTAAGGCCATCAGGAATGGAGGGCAGTGGGACTGAAGCGTTATGCCAGATGATCCCTGAGCATCCTCCTTACTCTGGGCTCCACTGGCCAGGATCAGCTTGTGCCTATCCTACTAGGCAAAGGCGACACCAACTCCAGGGGAGTGGGCAGAGAAAGAGTCCAAGTGCAAAAACCTTTAGTAAGTGTCAGATCATCACAAATCAGGTATCTACCACTCAGCAAGTAACTGTATAACATGACTGTAGTACATCAAATTACCTTAAATATGGAAGGGCCAGATAACTGATAGGGAATAAGGGCCCTAGATGGACCAAAAATGATTTTTTTCTTGGCCCTCTAAGGGTATCTCATAAATAGAGAGAAGGATGATGGCATTAGGATAAGAAAAACTAACATGGCATTGTATAGACAAAAAGAATAAATACTTTTTTCCCTCTTATCTCTCCTCTACAAGTTAAGGGACTCTGAATAGCAAATCCCAAAGAAGACCATAGATTCAAGAACAAACTGAGGCAGTGCCATGAATAATCCATTTTCCCGTAAAACCTAAGAAGACTTGGCATGGCTTCCACAACAAAGGTGCTGATTAAGGTAACCCAGGAAAAGTCCCTCTTCCCCAGATGTGTGGCTGATGAGGACGTACACGAGCACCTCCAGAATATTAACTTCACGGAGACTGTAGTCTTCTCTTGACCTTACCACTTAGTTTTTAAACTATATTGTTTCCTAAAATTAATTCTATTTCAGTTCTGATAATTCAGTGATAGAGTTCCTTTCCTACACTTTAGATATTGCTAGCACAGAGAATGAAACCAACATGGAACTTTGAAATGCATGTAAATGTTTACTGCTCTGTTGTAGGCCTTAAGCATTAAAGAAAAATATAAATGAAGCCAAAAGAAAACAAGGAGTGATAATCACGGCTTAGTTGTCCTTTAAGAAATAAGTGGATTGAAACTTACAAGTGGAGAATAATTCTCTATTTGCAAAGTGAAGCAGTATACAATACTGGAAGTGTATCCTTTTTGTGCAGAAATTCAAGGTGATCTATAGAAACAACACAGATGTTGTTGCAAATACTCTGTGGCATATTCTGGGCTTTAAAAAGTAATATAGGTCATGGGCCGGGTGCAGTGGCTCACGCCTGTAATCCCAACACTTTGGGAGGCCAAGGAGGGCAGATCACAAGGTCAGGAGATTGAGACCATCCTGGATAACATGGTGAAACCCCATCTCTACTAAAAATATAAAAAATTAGCTGGGTGTGGTGGCGGGCACCTGTAGTCCCAGCTCCCAGCTACTTGGGAGGCTGAGGCAGGAGAATGGTGTGAACCTGGGAGGCAGAGCTTTGAGATCGCGCCACTGCACTCCAGCCTGAGCGACAGAGCAAGACTCAGTCACAAAACAAACAAACAAACAAACAAAACAGGCTGCATTACTAGTGGCGAATCAACATCCACAGATACATATTCTGTTTAATATCTATCGAGCCTACTCAGGAAAAGAGTTCTGGTTTATTTATGAAAAGTGTCAATGTGGCTGATTTAAAGGCAGGCTAAAATGTACGCAGAGACTATCATTGGTTTCTCAGTATTTATGCTTCCCCTTTTCCTTTTAGCCACAGAGGCCCCAAGTATTTAGCTGGCCACAGACCATCCAGGTAGACACTAAATGTCCTGGCCTCCTTTGCCCCAAGGTGTGGTGGCATTGTGACAAAATCTGAACTAATGGGACATGAGGGGAAAGGCTATGCGCACTGTTCAGGTCATCTTTTTAAATTGAAGATGCTTGCCTAGAGCTTCCTCTTTCCTCCTTCCTGCTGCCTGGAAAATGGTGACATTGGGAACAACCTTGGAAACACACTGTAATGTTGATACAGCCACTCTCACAACCCTGGTCCATTCTGCAATGTGTGAGAGAGAAATGACTTCTTTCTCTTTAAGTCATTCTTGTTTATTTGTTTGCTTTGTGGATCTGTTTTTGGTTTTTGTTTCCGAAGCTTTGTCTGTATTCTAACTATATGGATTAGATTGTTTTTCCCATCTTATCTGAATTTGTGAAGGCTGAAAGCTCTGACATGGAGCAAGAGTAGGCAAGAAGGGGCCAGGCACGGTGGCTCACGCCTGTAATCCCAGCACTTTGGGAGGCTGAGGGGGGCTGATCAGGAGGTCAGGAGATCAAGACCATCCTGGCTAACACGGTGAAACCCCGTCTCTACTAAAAACACAAAACATAAGCCGGGTGTGGCGGCGGGCACCTGTAGTTCCCGCTACTCTGGAGGCTGAGGCAGGAGAATGGCGTGAACCCGTGAGGCAGAGCTTGCAGTGAGCCGAGATTGCACCACTGCACTCCAACCTGGGCGACAGAGTGAGACTCTGTCTCAAAAAAAAGTAGGCAAGAAGGAAGGAACCAGGCCAAAATGACACCACGCTGTGGAGACCGTCTTCACTGAGCAAGCTATACTGGGGCAGAACAGCTGCCTCGGAGTCTGCCACTCCTGTCTGCTGATGTTCCCCTATACAACCCTCAAGACAATCCAAGAGCAAGGCTCTTCGAAGCCTTCACAGATTTACTGCTCTTTTATTCTCCTAATGTAATTTAAATATATACTTTATTATAGCACTTATAACACTAATTTTCCATTTAAATTACATTTAACTTTCCTCCTAGACTTTGAGAGGAGGAAGATTCGTCCATTCACGTTTATATCCACACTGCGCAGGACACTCTCTAGCTTAATGTGACTTTTTTTTTTTTTGAGACGGAATCTTTCTCTGTCACCTGGGCTGGAGTGCAGTGGTGCAATCTCGGCTCACTGCAACCTCCACCTCCCAGGTTCAAGCAATTCTCCTGCCTCAGCCTCCCAAGTAGCTGGGATTACAGGCAGCTGCCACTAAGCCCAGCTAATTTTTGTTTTTGTATTTTTAGTAGAGATGGGATTTCACCATGCTGGCCAGGCTGGTCTCGAACTCCTGACCTCGTGATTCGCCCGCCTCGGCCTCCCAAAGTGCTGGGATTACAGGCGTGAGCAATCGTGCCTGGCCAATGTGACTTCTTAATACATGTTTTTTGCATTGATATTGTTGAATCAATGCCATCAAATATAAATATTTTACTAATGTTCATGATTTATCCAAGTTTGCTTAACAATATTCAGATTTTCTTAATATTCAGGCTGCTTAATTTTTTTTAAGTGATTCCTCTGTGAGCAGGAGCTGTGATGGTTCTTAACTAGCTATGACCTTTAATGTCTTCCTCTGTGATTGCTGGTAAATAATCTTATGTTCTATCCTCCCTCTCCTCCTGCTCCTGCTCCTCTTCCCTCTCCTCCTCCTGCCACACAGACAACTTCATAATGGCTCTTCCCTCTTGAGCATCTATTACATGTGAAAGCTTTTATATATTTTTTCTCTACTTTTTAATCACAATTCTGCATGGTAGGTGTTGTATTTCCATTTTATACTTGAGAAAACTGAGGCCCATGACTGCTAAGATTTAAACCCAGTAATCTCCATGGTAACACCAAATTCTTACTCCACCATCCTATGTCCCTAAGAGAAAGGAAATGTTATCTCTGGGTCATTTGGAGTTAATCTTATCACTCTCTGCTTTCACAAACGGACTTGCCAATTCTTATTGTTCAACAAATAGCAGGATATACGAGACAGAGCTGGTAAATGTCACCTTCACATTTCCCATTCTTCCCTTGTTGTGTCACAGTGTACCCCTCATAGGTGCCATGCTCTGTGTCTGTGTGCTCAGAATCTGCTGGCTCCCCTTCCTTCCAGCTTTGCCTGATCAGTCTGATGTGAACTTGATCTCTCCCTTTGGAATCCCTTTCCACCTCTTGCTTCTGGCTACATATTGCACATGCAACCCTCTTTACGAGTGGATCCTACCTAGAGAATATTCCTTTAAAATTGCTATCTCTGGCTTCAAAAAACTAATTCAGATCCCTCCTGGTCAGTTGCAGTCTCTACAACTGGATACTGAAGGATATAGCCGTCTTTCATATTTCACATCCTTATAGTATAGGAAAACAAAATCACAGGACAGAAGACAGGGGGTTTAAGCAAGTAGCTCAGGGAATGGAAGGAACTGAGATCACAATTTTAGCCATTATACAGTGATTTCCAATAAATAATTATTATTTGTTTCAAACGATAAACTTCTAGAAAAAAAGGTCATTTACCAATCAGAAGGGGGGTCTCTCCTTTATCATTTTTTGTGTTGGGCCACACTCCCTTTTCTAACAAAGTTCTTACATTTTTCACCAGACCAGCTTTGACTGCCAAAGTCAAGGGTGTTTCTCCATCACAGGTCTTGAACTCCCAGAGTGTCTTATAGGATGCTGTGACATGAAAGCATTATGTTGAAAAGTTGAAAATACTGACAGGATGTCAAACAAATCAGAGCAACCCAATATTATATACATCAGATTGAACAAAGTCAATTGATGAAAATGAAAAGACTGACAAAAGTTTACCAAATGACGGTGAGGATAAAATAGATGTACATGGAGTTGCTAATCAAATTGACAGCTAGAAAACCAAAATCTGTTTTTAGCTGCTTTTTTGAAAATGGCGCGCTAGGTCTCATTTCTTGATACGTTACAAAACAGTGCTTCAATTCTTTGTATTATAATTTATATTGTAACTGAAATTGTTTGTTTGTGAAATGCAGTCTGTGAATGTGGGAAAGAGAATGTACTTGAATGTAGGTATCATTGTGTCAAAATGATCCTTAACATCATGTATATCTGTCTGTCTAGCTGTCTGGTTTTCTAGATGGCTGGCTAATAATCAAGTGTGTATCTCCCAGAACATACAGCTGTCATGCAACAGTGAAAGCTGAACAATAGGGCACTCTCAAAAGTGTTCTGTAAGATGCTGAGATGTGAAAACACTGTGTTAGAACATAAAAGTTATTGTTAATATTTAACACTGGCTTGATTTGCCTCAACATTTGTTAATGCTTACATTAAGAAAAAAAACAATGTAATGTAAAGACAAATATTTTCAGTACTCCCTGTTGTACTATATAAGAATCTTTTGGAAACTGTTAACTCAAGAGATAGTTCAAAATGAAAAATTTAAAATTGACTTCCAAAAGAAAAGAGTGTTATACATAACTCAATTAATTCATGACATATAGAAACTTTTATCACTATTATGTGATAACCACACCTTTCCACCAACCTGTGTCTCATTCATAGGTAAAAGGATGCAAAAGGTAAACCCCGAATGTCAAAAAATGTCCTAATTTTTGTACTCTGAGTTTAAAACACGGGTGCTGCCTTTTTCAAATTCCAAATAATATTTTAATCCACCTTTTCTTTCTGCTAGTTATGTTCACTGAAAACACTTATAACATCAGCATGTCAATATCCTTGCCCTGGTTTGGTCAAACGTGTTTTATGTTCTCTTACCATCCAGAACAATCTCAAGTATTTGTTGAATGGGTTGAACAACAGCTTCATGTAATGGAAACCATCCTTTTTCATCAGCTTCATCCATTGCATATTTATATTTTACATACTCCTGGAGCTCAAGAATGTGACCTAAATTAAACACATCGACTGATGACTAATCTCTGTTTTTGCAAGGTGGAATCTCCAGTCCATCCCACTGTAGATGGTACACTCATTTACCTTGTTTTATGGCCTCCACAAGTTTTCTGTTTTGACCACTTAGGGGTACAAATCTATGAGATAAAGAAAAACCATATTTATACTAGATACTAGTGATATATTTCAAGGAACCAAAGATTTTAATTTATATTGCATTTTTAAGCTTAATTTTAATAATCAAGATCCAAATGAGACGCATACAACTGATTTCATCTCCTTAAAAAAGTAAATGTACGGGAGTCAGACACAGAGTATATTTACAATGCATTGATCTAAGAATATTAGTGAAGATGGTGAAATAGAAGAGTACAATGCTATCTCTGAGAGATCTCAAAGCAATAAAAAAGGAGTAAACAATTGGAGTCAGATTCAGAAGAGCTAGGTTCAGATCCTAGTCTGATTTTGTGATTCTGGGGAGGCCAATTAGCCTTTCTGGATGTGGGTTCTTCATCTGAAAAATGATGGAATTAATAGATCTCTAGGGCTTTTTCTAATTTTTAAAATTCTATGCTCAAAAAATGTTTATTGTTTTGAACTTCATAATTGCTAATAAGGTACTTACTTGGGAGCTTATGGTCTAAACTATATATGTGAGTTTTAAATCAACCGTTCCACATGTGAAAATAGGCAGGGCATTTACTAAACAAACTCCCAATCACTGGCCCAGCAGGTCATGATTTAAATCCTCATGGAGTTTTCTGGTGTGTGTGTTTGTTAAGTGGGAAGAAGGAATTCCATAACAAATTTACTTAACTCTGTTAAGCAGAAACATCTGTTAGCATACCAGGGTTGTGAATGCCTTCCAGTGAGCGCTAAAGTTCTAAAGCTTGTTGGAGATAAGGGAGATACTTCAGACCAGGAATTTCAATGTACTACGTCTATTTTTTCAAAGCTCAAAAGCAACCATTTTTAAACACTGGGTCTCTTCAAAAGTACTACTAAATTCCAGAATACAAGATTTTAAACACTGTAACAAAAAGTAAAGGTAAACTAGTTTATTTCTGTCAGATGTATAATGTCTTTTTTTAAGAAAGAAATTTACTTTTGCAGTTTTAGACTCAATAAATCCTACCTACATAATACTTCACTTTTAGGTATATTTTAATTTATTAATTCTTGTCATTTAGATAGTAGATAATCAAATAGGTGGTAGTTTGTATATTACTTTGTCATATAAAATAAAAACCTGCAACTCTTCTGTCATTCATTAACTAATGGGCTACATGGTTTAGCATTATTCTTCATATTTTAAACATACAACAATGGAATATATTACCTATAAAGGGTTAGCTGAATCAGTAGCAGAATGAGCTCTAGAGTGTACAGACCTCTGTATACCAACCTGTCTGTATATTTGTTGTATAAACTGTACTTGCAAATATGTTCAAATTACTCATTGCCCTTTTTGAATCTATATTAATTTAGAAAATAGGCAATTCTATACAACCAAATTCATCTAGGAATTTTCCACATAGGGTTTTTCCTGTTTCCCACATGAGGTGAGGATTTGTGGAAGATCAGATTGCTAAAACTTATGTACAGTGGCCCTTGGAAAGCTGTTAGATTCCCTATCAGAAAGGAAAGGTCAGTTTTCCTAGAGGAGGAATTAGGAAATGGTGTTCATTTTATCTCACAACAAAATGAATGCCATAAAGAAATTGTGCTGAGGATAGTTGGTTTGAATACTACCTTTCAGGATAAAGCGCAGTCTTGCTGGCTTCAATGGATTCTTGAATACTTAGCTGAATATCATAACTTGTAAGATGGTCTTCATCAGGGTCATCATTAGTATCCATTCCTGCATGTAATTTTGAAGGAGACGAGTTCTTATTATCAACAAATGGCCCAAAACAGTACACAGAATAAACATGAAAAATGCATAGTGAAAAACTAAAATGCATTTTTGTTTTCCTGGTTAACAAATACAAATGCGGGTAACATTTTAATCCACATTACATGTGAAGTTGATTTTATTAACTTAAATGGTCTAACTGTTAAAACCTTTAATAACCTGCCCTTTGAGCATTTCTCTTTCTAACTTTTGACTTTTTTTTTTTTTTTTCAGTAATGACTGCAGTTGGGCTCATAAGAATTCACTTTTTCCTAAGCTTCTGATTTGATGCCAATTTTGGCCCATCAGTTTTCTTGGAGAGTGTGTACATAGCACATTAAAAACTTAAACATTGTTCCAATGAGGATAAGATGGATAGTGGCTGTAATGGAGAACAGTCATCCTTTCACATTCTTTTTTATTTTTTTTTTTGAGATGAAGTCTTGCTCTGTCACTCAGGCTGGAGTGCAGTGGTGTGATCTTGGCTCACTGCAACCTCTGCCTCCTGGATTCAAGCAATTCTTCCTTCTCAGCCTCCTGAGTAGCTGGGATTACAGGTGCATGCCTCCATGCCCGGCTAATTTTCATATTTTTTTAGTAGAGACGGGGTTTCTCCATGTTGGCCAGGCTGGTCTCAAACTCCTGACCTTGTGACCCGCTCGCCTTGGCCTCCCGAAGTGCTGGGGTTTACAGGCGTGAGCCACCATGCCTGGCACCTTTTACATTTTTTACAAACCATCAATGGTCAACTGCGAAGTCTGATTGGTCTCAGAGCATCATTTGAACATTAAGGATAATTTTAACTTCCTTAAGGATAAGGACCATTTTAACTTCATCCATAGACCAGAAACCAGGCCTCCTATAGAGTCCCTATTAACTCCCTTACACAATTCTGTTACAAGCCACTGCTCTTGACTGGCCCATCTCGCTGAAGAGAATACAGAAAAATGTAAATTAGTCTTCATTTGCTTATTTCTCCCAAATATCAAATTAGGAGAATGAATTTACTATCTTACTCTTTACTATTGAATTAATTGCTTTATTTTATTTAGAGAGGACATTTAGTAAATATAGAAATAAAATTTCTATAGCTGAGTTGACTGGCTAATATGAAATTAACTTTGATTGATGGTACTTTTCAAGCCTTTTATAGTCTGTATATGAAATTTTACTTTATAGTATGTCTTCTGAATGACAGAAAAACAAAAGGGTACTCTGCAGGCAATTTCCAAAACACAGTTGACACATGCTTTACCTCTTCTCATTCTTCCTCAAGGTTGGATAATTGGATAATAAATGCTAACATCCAAGGCCTCTAACCTGTGGGCAGAACTCATTGACAATATTATGATTAATTGTTCATTGTTCTATAGCAGTGGCCTTAATATCACCTCAGAACCAAAGGTATAGAACAGTGCTAATGTTCAGAGACCACACACGAGATAGTCACCATGCTCCACCAAGCCTCACATTGTGACTTCTCAAAAGCCACACTAGAGATCTTACTCACCACGTAGACGTAAATGGTATCTTGCTTTTTAATGTATTGTTTATTGGTTCATTGTGCGTCTCTTCTCCTTAGAATGTAACTCAGGAATAGCAGGGAATTAGTCTGTGACCTCAGTGCCAAGAGAAGCATCATCTCCTGGTTCGTGCTGTCTAAATATGTGTTGAATAAATGAATTAATGAATTAATAAGTGACCATTGAAACATAATCCAGGCTCCTCTTTGTTCTTAGAACTGACCATTTCCTTCGGATATGGAGTTTCTTTTTTTTCTAACTAAACAAATTTGATCGTTCACTCTGTGCTTAGCTTCATTTGTCTCTCTTCTGTTCTTTTCCATAATATTCCTCTTTATTCACGAGGTCCTCTCAGCTGATCCCCACCCATGGTTCACACTGTGTCAAGGCTAGCACAAGACATTCCTCCTATGGAAACCCTTGGTGTCATTCTTCAGTTCCTCTCTAGTTGTCTTAGTCTGTTAATATCTCTTCTTATGTAATATTTTTCCAATGTCTTGGTTTATACTCACTCATTCTGTATTTGCTTTACAAGTTCTTTACATACTTGTGTTTGTGTTTTCACTTGGACCATTAGTTTTCTGAGAGGAAACAAAATCTCTTTTCTTTTTTCTATCTTTTCCCTCTATTCCTACTCCTTGTCAACTATAGCAAACAGCTGCTGTCTGTGGTCACTGGAATAAAAGTTGTTGACTCATTACTAGCAGACAAGTACTGAGTCTGTCAGCCAGCACCAGTAGATGACAAAGTTCAACCTGTGGCCTCGCCTGGTGACTTTTTCAGTGATATTACTGGGGTGATAGGGGGGATTGTATGGCTCTGGGATTAGTAATAGGATACAGAGCCTTTCACCTATTTAAATCACCAGCTTAAATCCAACCCTGTTTGAAATTTGGACTTTCAGTGTATGAGAGAGTACAGACTCCATAGAGAACTGAGCTGGTCTGTGGAAAGTATTTTATTTCAATGTTTTTTGTTTGTTTGTTTGTTTTTGTTTTTTCCCCTACTATCACAAAGGAAGTTACCTAGGTTCCTATTTGGTATCTCTAATGACCATAGGGTGAAAATGATGGGAACACTTTCTATGCAGAACAACTCCAACCTAGCACAGGTGTCTGCAGCCTTTTCCTGAAAGCTTGAGATGAAGTGAAGATCTGCATGCAGGTGTACTAAGGTGCCAGACAGTCAGTCAAAGGAGCATTACTGGAATGTACTTAAAGACATCAAGACACAATGATAAAGGCAAGAGAAGAGTAACTTATTTATCTAAGACCAGCTCAGTTCTCTATGGAGCCTGTGTTATCTCATAAATAAGAGTAACTGGCCAGGCACGGTGGCTCATGCCTGTAATCCCAGCACTTTGGGAGGCCAAGGCAGGTGGATCACGAGGTCGGGAGATCGAGACCATCCTGGCTAACACGGTGAAACCCTGTCTCTACTAAAAAAATACAAAAAAATTAGCTGGGTGTGGTGGTGGGCGCCTGTAGTCCCAGCTACTCGGGAGGCTGAGGCAGGAGAATGGCGTGAACCTGGGAGACGGAGCTTGCAGTGAGCAGAGATCACGCCACTGTGCTCCAGCCTGGGTGGCAGAGCAAGACTTCATCTCAAAAAAAAAAAAAAAAAAAAAAGAGAAAGAAAAAAAGTAACTTATTTATCTGAACCTCCTTGAGTGGCTAGGACTCAATCCCACCTAAGGGCCAGCAACAGTCTATGGGAAATTATTTTTATAAAGCACTACTCAGAAGCATGAGGAAAGGTCAGACAATATTTGAACATCTTTAAGATATATGTATGGGTGTCTCGCATCTCAGTCTAGAGAAATTGATTTTTTTTTTTTTTTTTTTTGAGGTGGAGTTTTGCTCTTTTGCCCAGGCTGGAGTGAAATGGCACAATCTCAGCTCACTGCAACCTCCGCCCCCTGTATTCATGCGATTCTCCTGCCTTAGCCTCCCGAGTAGCTGGGATTATAGGCACTGGCCACCATGCCTTGCTAATTTTTGTAGTTTTAGTATAGATGGGCCCCCCAATGTGCTAGAATTACAGGCATCAGCCACCATGCCTGGCTTAGAGAAACTGACTCTTAATAAAAGAGAAATCATTTGTTCTCCATAAGTAGCTGATTTACAAAGTAACTGATGCAATCATATTGTACCATCAGCCTCTTCATTCAAAGCACTGGTTAACCTTGCTTAGGGTCATGAAAACATTTGTTGAAAGCTATGGATTCTCTCTCCAGAGGGACACATGTCCACTCAAAATTTTGCATGAAATTTTAAGGAACTTATGGAATCTCAGAGGTTTTTTCATGTTCTCCTGGTAAAAAACCACTGAATTAAGGATTCCTAAATGCTAAATGCCAAATATATTTCTCAGATATCAATAAGTATTAGTTTATTTTACAGATAGGCCAAGTAAAATCCTTAATTCAGATAGTGAGAAAAGGAACTTTGGTGATCATGTAAATTTTTTGATACATTTGGCAATAGTAATAATAACTATAAATTATCAAGTGCTCACCTTGTTTCGAGCACTGTGGAAAGCATTTTGTATACATTACCTTGTTTTAAATTCTCATTCCAATTCTGTATTGTAGGTATTACAGATTCAAGAGGTTAAATGACCCACCAAATGTCTCAGAACGAGTAAGTAGAGTCTGAACCGAGCAGGCAATACCTTCACTTTTAAGGTCTTTCAGAAGTTAGAGGAAAATATCTCACAGTCTGTTGCCTTTGAAAGAAAACACTGTGATCTTGCTTTTAACAGCCAGCTTTTGATGACAATCACTTCCAAAAATAAAAAATAGCTTCCAGGGACACATAAATCTTTTTTTTTTTTTTGTCTCCATGCAATAAGGCTTTATATTACTTAGGGTGGTCTGAGGTTCCTAAGCTTGCCTTCATTCTGTACTTTTTGCCTTGGAATCCAAACAACAGGATCAACATACCAGTTGGTGCCTGACTGAAATGGTCAGGAGGTTGGTCATGTTGCAAGGTCTGATGCAGGAGTGAACATGAGTATATGACACCTTTTTGCATCAGTTTTGCTAAACTACCTCCAAACCATGATCTGAGCTATTGCCTTCCTATAAAGGTAGCTGATAAATTTTTGACACCTGTCAGAGCTTCCTTTGAAATACAATAGCTCCCACAGCACGGAACCAAGCTTCTCCCTTTCCCTGAAAAAGATAAATACAAATTTCTTCCTCGTGAATTGTTTAGTTGGTTTACTCCTGCTTACATGCAGATCTGTTTGCCCCACCTACCCTCACACTCTGTCTTGAGCATAACAAAATTGAAACCGTCTCCGTGAGTCCTAAACAAGGCTGGTCTTGAAAGTAAGCAGAGTGGACAGTTGCTTCCATGGTGCAAGGAAGGGCTCTGTGTCCATAAATAACACACTGCCCCCAGCACCTGTCACATCAGTGTCGTTCTATTGCATCAGCAAGAGATTCTGTCCTTTAGGGCGTATTGTTCCATCTTCCAGTGTCCCTTTTAAAATTTAGATAGCAACATACTGGCCCCTAGTTTAGAACCAAGATGTCTTGGGATAGTTACTGGAGTACGTGAGGCTGGGAAGATGGCAGAAAGTTTAAGGTTAGGATCTAGTGGGAAGTGATATGAAGGGATAAGAAAAGGGCAATAGAGTACAACTTGGTTTTCTTTACAGTTTATCCAAGGCCAGCCCAAATAGAAACCCTGAGGTTCTGAGGGAGATGCAGATTTCTGCTATGTGGAATGGGGGACACTGATTCCCTGGGAATTTTTCTTTTACCTTGAAGCTGCTATGGTTCTTGAGTGTCGAGCTCATCTACTAGAGGTCCCTGAGAGAATCATCAGGATTTATCCTATCAGAGGAAGGGCAAGAGTTAAAAGACATTTTTTTTTTTTTGGTACTGTCAAAAAAATACAGTTGTTATATACAAAACAATACTAAGTCTCATTTTTATGCACTTTGATCATTTGTATGCATACTTTTAAAGATGTGGAGAAATCAATAGAAATAAAATCCTGTTGTCACTTTGCTTTTTATTTGGTGACTGAACACTTATTTTTTAAGAATTGCATAGCCTGAAGTGGCAAATCACAGGAATGGATTTGTTAGGATGATTTAAACAACAAAATCAACTAGTTCCCCAGAAATTTCAGATAGAAGTGTAACTCTGTCAGAATTGGGTTTTACCCCACAGTCACAGGTAACTTTCACTTACAAGCAATAACTTACGCAATTCCCTCTTTATGGCATTTGCCTTTTCTACTGAAGAGAAATCCTATGCATGATGGGGAGAACTAGATCAGTTTAAATAGCATCTTTCTTAACAACAAAGTATGCTCTTCTGATACATTGAAAACGTGCACTCACACAAACAATCTTAGTCTAAAAAACAAATGCTACTTTTATGTTCCTTCAAAGAAACACAACTCAATATTTTAGAAAAAGATATAAAAGGCAAAATGATCTGTAGAAACTAAACATGATACCTGGCACGTGATAAAAATTCAGTATTTACTAAACAAATGAATAATTGTATAATTAAATAAACACAACTCTTAAAATTAGCCTTGTGTTTCCTCTGTAGGTCACAGATATATTTTTGCCAAATTATCTTCAAATTTTGGGGCGTCACTGATTGATGCTTAATTTCTATGTAACGATAGAACCTGTTTAGTAGTTTTGTTTATCTCTAGTTTCATATTACAAAAGTAAAAAATTTTAATGAAATTAGTATGAAGATAAGTTAAAAAAATAAAAACACCAAGAAAAAATAGAGAAAAAAGAAATATTTACTCTTTACTATTGATTTCCAAGTCAAATTTAATTATAACAGAACTGTGGGAAGATGCATGTTAGCTTTTGAGGACTACACTCACAACAGTTTAGGAAGGAGCTTTAGACTCACAAACTCATGGGTTTCTAGGGGAATATAAACTCACAGAATAGCAAAGAGTAAAGTAAGATAGGTCCATGAAAAGACAACTTATTAGTAGACACACCCTGATCACAAGCTAATATGATATAATGATTTTTAAAAGCCCTATCCTTTGTCTGTAATTCTACATCTAGGAATCTATCTTATAGAAATAATCAGAAGACTGTGCCTGGTGGCTCACGCCTGTAATCCTAGGACTTTGAGAGGCTGAGATAGCTGGATTGCCTGAGTTCAGCAGTTTGAGACCAGCCTGGGCAACACGGTGAAACCTCATCTCTACAAAAAATACAAAAATTAATCGGATGTGGTGGTATGCACCTGTTGTATCAGTTACTTGGGGGGTTGAGGTGGGAGGATTGTTTGAGCCTAGAAGGTCGAGGCTGCAGTGAGTCATGTTCACGCCACTGCACTCCAGTTTGGGTGATAAAGCAAGATTCTGTCTCAAAAACTAAATAAGTAAATAAATAAAAGAAGTAATCAAAGATGTAAAAAAAGATGTGTATGTGAGAATGTTTATCTCAGCTGTGTTTAAATTGCCAAAACATTAGAAACAACATAAATGTCCCAAAATAGGAAATTTGTATAAGACATTATCGTACACATAAAAAGTGAAATACTACACAGTTATTTAAATTCATATACTTGAAGAATATTTAACATTATATGTCAGTTAACGTAAAGTGTCAGTTTAAGTATGATGTTTATTTAACCAACTATGACTAACCACTTTTAAGGAACTATGATGGATTTTTGCCCCAACTTTATTGACAATTTAAAATTATATGTGTTTATTGTGTACAGCTTGATGATTGGACATATGTATACATTGTGACATATTCACCACTGTCAAGCTAAGTAAACTACCCATTCTGGCACATAGTTGATCTTTTTTGGGGGTATAGTTATTGTGAAAAACAGCACAAAGTTTTCTCAAAATTTTAAAAATAGGACTGTCTTACGATCCAGCAATCTCACTTCTGCATGCATATCCAAAGGAAGTGAAATCACTATCTCAGAGAGATATTTGCACTTCCACGTTAGTTGCAGTATTATTTACAGCAGCCAAGATATAGAAACAACCTAAATGTCCATTGACAGACGAATAAATGAAGAAAATGTGCTACGTATTTACAAATGGACTATTAACCTTAAAAAAGAAGAGAATCTTGCGATTTGTGACAACATGGATCAACCTAGAGGACATTATGCTAAATGAAAAAAGCCAGGTACAGAAAGACAAATATTGTGATATTTATCTGTGGAATCTAAAACGTTGAAGTCATAGAAAAAAGAGTAGAATGTTGGTTGCCAGGGGCTAGGAGGTGCTGGCCAAGGGGTACACATTTCAGTTAAACAGGATGAATAAATTCTGGAAATCTAATGTACAACAACGTAACTATAGTTAACAGTATTGTATTCTATACTTGAAATTTGCTAAGGGTGTAGATTTTAAGAGTTTTCACCACCAATAGCAACAAGAAAAGGGAGCTAAGATGGACTTTACAGAGGCAAAGCTTACAAAGCCCTCTCAGGAAAATTAGCTTGGCATCTACCTCTCAGGACTGAGCAGGCCAGGAATCTTGGAGACCTCGAGAAAAGAGAGTGCCCAAATGTACAGGAAAGCAGGTAGAACTTTGTGAAGAGAGGTTCTTGGCGTTGGAAGGAGCAGAAATTTGAAAGAGCAATTCATTTTTCTGAATCACCCAAGCACAGGCTGCATTACCTAAGTTATTGTGTCTGTCTGCATGAAACCAGAAGTTTATTTTCCATTAATGAGCGAGTGGTGGCTCCTGAGAAAGGTGAGGCCAGTTACAGTCAATTAAAAAGCTACTTCTGGTTTGTGCAATTGAGTTGTAGGGTGAGTAAAAAATATTTTGACTACGTTGATTACCTATAGTAACAATAAACATAACATCTCTAGACTTTTAAAAAGTATTATTTTTTTAACTTTCATTTTAAGTTTTACCTTAACATTTGTTCTATAGGTAAATTGTATATTGCAAGGGTTTGGTGTACAGAGTGTTTTGTCATCCAGGTAATAGACATAGTACCTCATAGGCAGTTTTTCTATCCTTGCCCTTCTCCCACTCTCGACCCTCAAGTAGGTCTTGGTGTCTGTTGTTCCCTTCTTTGTGTGCATATGTACTCAAAGTTTAGCTCCTACTTGTAAGTGAGAACGTGGGGTATTTGGTTTTCTGTTCCTCTGTTAATTTGCTTAGGATAATGACCTACAGCTCCATCCATGTTGCTGCAAAGGACACGATCTCATTCTTTTTCATGGCTGACTGGTATTCTATGGTGTATATGTACAACATTATCTTCATCCAGTCTACTGTCATTGTGCATTTAGGTTGATTCCATGTTTTTGCTGTTGTGAACAATGCTGCAGTGAGTGTGTGCATGCATGTGTATTTATGGTACAATGGTTTATATTCTTTTGTGTATATATACAAAAATGCGATTGTTAGATCGAATGGTAATTCTACTTTAAGTTCTTTGAGAAATCACCACACTGTTTTCCACAACGGCCAAACTAATTTACATTCCCACCAGCATTGTATAAGCATTTCCTTTTCTCTATTACCTCGCCAGCATCTGTTATTTTTTGATTTTTTATTAGGAGCCATTCTGACTGGTGTGTGAGATGGTATCTCATTGTGGTTTTGATTTGCATTTCTCTAATGATTAGGGATGTTGAGCATTTAAAAAAGTATTATTCTTATGAATATACATCTAAATATTCATATACAATTATATATACATATATTCTTTCCAAAAATATTCATTCCTGGCATAATGTACTTTGTTCAACATGACAAACAATCCTGTCTGGTGCGCAAGTCAAATTTTTTCCCTTCAATATTGATTCAAATAATAATGAGGCACTGTATTTTTTCATATCTTGTTTCGAAATCATGTACAGGCCATTGATTTCTTTCTGTTGGAGGCAGTTGATTATAATGGTCGAATCTTTGTTCAAACCCTGACCTGCCTGCATTAGCTGCCTGGTGAACTGTGTCTGACGGGTCGCAAGTAGTCAGCAAACATTCCCTGTTATTATTCTGTGATTGAACTCCTGTGGAATGGGAACGTAGGATTCTAGTTCTTTTTGAAAGTTTTAGTTCTATTGCTTACCGTTCAATGTTCACCCTGACACCCGCTTTTTATTTTCTTCTCCCTGCTTTTCCCTAGAATCACCAATTTTCAGAGTTAAAGACCGTCAGGTAGCCCCACCTGTAAATTTTGTTTACAACATGCCCAACAAGTCATTAATAGCCTCAGCTTGAACATCAAAGTGTCAGGGAGCTTGCTATCTCCTCACAGAGCGCTTCTCCTTTAGCCAGCATTTTTTTGCTTTTTTTAGACAGAGTCTCCTTCTGTCAACCAGGCTAGAGTCCAATGGCATGATCTCAGCTCACTGCAACCTCCACCTCCCAGATTCAAGTGATTCTCCTGCCCCAGCCTCCCGAGTAACTGGGATTACAGGAGCCCACCACCATACTGGGCTAATTTTTGTGTTTTTAGTAGAGACGGGGTTTCACCATGTTGGTCAGCCGGTCTCGAACTCCTGACCTCAGGTGATCCACCCCCATCGGCCTCCCAAAATGCTGGGATTATAGGCATGAGCTACGGTGCCTGACCTAGCCAGCTTTAACAATTAAGAAAACCAGTGAACTTGAATCCATCTCTTCCAAACATTATCTGAAGATAATGTTTCTACTTCTCTTCTAACCTTTTTCTGGTTCTATTTCTCAGTTACACTGAGAAAGTATTGTTCCTCTGCAATACAGGAGCCCTGTTAATATCCCCCAGGAAGGCTCTCAGGTCTCCACTGAGCCTTTTCTTTCAGAGGCTGGACAACTGCTCTTCCTATAAGATGGTCTCACCTCCTGCACTGCCTTGATTGCTTTCTTGTAAACACATCTGTTTATCCATTTCTTTCTAAAAGTGACACTGAACCACAGGCTCTGAGTGCAACACAACAGCTACAGTCAGACCAACACAAGTTTAAGTGGGTGTGACCACTTTCCTTTTCTCAAACACTATACATCTGTTAGTTTAGCCCAAGCTCAGATAAGTATTTAGACTATCATGTTACACAGTTGATTTAGACCTCAGTATCCCAAAATTCTACAAACCATATGTTTTCTCTACATTGTTTTCTGTGTAATTGTATGCAGGACCCTATAGGACTCTATTTATTCCTATTACATTTTATATTTTTTCAATTTGGCTTTTATTTCCTTCTGCTAAAATTGAACGCATTTTCTATCTCTCCAAGTATTGTTTTATTTGCTGACTTAATAAGCATGCCTTCTATATGTCCTTAAGCTCCAACGATAAAGATAAATGTTGAAAAGAAATCGGCACAGGACAGAGGCTTCTATGTTGACATTGATCCATTAATTTGCACCCTCCCAGAAAAGGTGTTTATCCAGCTACAAATCCTCTTAAAGACACCAGTACCTAGCATTAATGTCTCCTTTTTGATAACAAGACCATCATCAAGGAATACTGTCAAATACCATCTTGAAATATGCACAGTTATCTATGATACTACATTCTTCTGCTCTGCTAATCAAAAAGACAAAGGAAAAGAATTAACCCACCAATTCTTAGTGATTATTTTTTTCCTACGTATGTTCAGACTATCCTATTTGTCCATGCAAAAATATACATTCAATGTCTGTTATGTTCTAGGCACAAGGCTAGACACAGATATACGGGATCCATGTCCTCAGGGAGCTTTCTGTCTTTAAATCATGTATTTTAGATTTTTCTCCAGAAATAATACCAATTTCTCTTTAAGGTTTAGCACACAGTCAAGCACATAGCATAGCAGGTCTTTAATAAATATTTTTATATTGAGTTTAATAATTATTATAACTAATATCTATTGAGTGTTTACCTGTGACAGGCATTACACTAAGTGCATTAAATGGATGTCACTTAATGTCTACATAATTCTCCCCCACTTTACAGATGAGAAAACTGAAGCACAGAGTCGTTAGGTAACTTACCTAAGGCCACATACCTAGTGGGCAGTGGAGAGTGGGATACACCCCAGTCAGCTGACAATGGAGGCCACCCACGCTTAACCAGTATACTCTAACTATGACTCAGCTACTTTGAAGGTATTAGTGAAAAGAGAGTCTTATTTTGTAAGCTAACAATTAGGAAAACCAGTGAACTTGAATCCATCTCTTCAAAACATTATCTGAAGATAATGTTTCTCCTTCTCTTCTAACCTTTTTCTGGTTCTGTTTCTCAGAGTTACACTGAGAAAGTATTGTTCCTCTACAACACAGGAGCCCTGTTAATATCTCCCCGGAAGGCTCTCAGGTCTTCATAAACCTGAGAAAAAGTTTTCTAACAAAGTTTAAGCAACTACCTAACAAATTCATTCCACAACTCCAAGGGAAATATAAAACTTGTAGGCAAATTTCTATTTGAAAATAAAATAGTCTCATAAAATAACTGAAATATAGAATTATAATTTTTATCACAATAACTTAATGCTCTCAGCACAAAGCAGTGATAAGATTTTTCTTGTCCACATCACTGCTCTACTTCATGGAAGTCAAATCATTTTAGATATAGAAAGCTCCTTAGAAGTTAACTGTGCATTTAAGAACAATATGAGTGATGATATCACATAAATTTTAAGGACTTTCCAACCTTTAGATTTTGTGATATAATTTGCAGGAGTAAATTTCCAATTCTATTCAGTTTATTTTTTAAAAATCTAACTACAGAAATTTTTCAGTCTGGGCAGAAAGCATTCATCTTTTTCAACAAGTGATGAAAAAGCCTTAAAAGAGATTTATTTATTCACAAAAAATAGTTAATTTTTAAATTAGAAACCAAGAGGTGAGCTGAGACCCTTCTGGGATTCTGTAGTAAATATATTGACATGTTCTATAAGGATATTCATTCTTAATATGTTTTTCTCATGATATAATTTTTTTATGCTTAGTAATTATGCAATTGAGTTGATGTTCTATAAGCAAACAAATTCTAGCTTTATTCTCTAATTAAAAAGGCCCTAAACAGGTAAGCCTGTAGGTGATCAACCAGAAAGAAAGTAATGAGTAGCTACTATAATTTGTATTTCCATCTGTTTAAAATATTACCAATAATGAAATATTCAATAAGCTAGTTGGTGAGGTACAGATCAAACATTTCATAATCTCACCTTTTGGAATGATCATCTTGTCATTCTTATCCAGGGACTTGCCTTCCTAAATCAGAGGAAGTGCCCTGGAGCCAATGTGTGCTTCTGTGTATCTAAAATTAAGTATCCAGTTGGTGGTTAAATTAAGATCTGACCTTGTACAAGTGAAACCTAAGCGGTCTCTGGCACACAGTAAAATATTACCCATGACTTCTCTAGACTTTCATCAAAAGAAACAGAAGCCTACAGAGGTATAAGAAGATTATCTGTGTCCTGATTGGTTCAAAGAACTCTTATGAAAACAAAGGACCTGCCAATTCAGCTGCAGGGAGTGTTCCTACTGACGGAACAAAACCAAACCACTTAGAATTAACACACAATTTAAAGGTATTTGTTCAAGAGACAAATCTGTAAGTCTTTGCGTTGTCAGACCCTAATCCACTTCTGACGTATTTTAATACACACTATTTTTCTTTCTCCATCTTTCAGATTCAGGTCAAATTTCATTAAATACAATTTTCTTGTCATACTAATTTGCTGTCTTTGATTTTTGTTTAATAATTGCTGATCTGATATACAGACAGAGATAGGGCAGTCAGTGACATCCAATCTGATCAGGAAATTTTAGGTCAAGTTATTGAGCATACATAGTCTAAAAAATGAGTAGCAAATGTATTAATAAAACAAGCAAAAAAATTGGGATTTTTAATTGAGGAAGGTTGTTTGTTTTCTTTTAAAAAACCAATTAAGTTTATTATCTTACTGATTTTCCAATGAAAATAGGCTTCCTTAAATTTGTTTTGACATAGCTATCCTTGAATTAACTCAGGCCACTGTCGGCACTCACAAAGCCATCTGGCCTCTATCCCCTTCACCCCCGCCCCCGCCCCCGCAATAAAACAACACCTCTTGCGGGTCTCAGTGACCTCTTTCTGACTTACTTTAGAAACTCATTTCATATTTTATATTCATTTTCATTTCTTAATTTACAGACCCTCGTTGGATTTGCTGCCAGTGATTCTTCCCTTTTTCCTGAAACTCTGTACTTCTTAGGCTACTGGGAGCACTACACGCTTTTGTTTTTCTTCTCATCTCTGACATTTTCTTTGTGCTCAGTGTTAATGAATATAAATATGTGGATTGTAGTGAATTTGCCAGTTTTATTTCAAAAATTGAGAAAACTGTAAATGCAAAATGAGAGGTCCTAACTCCTCTTTAACTGTGATAAAAGAAGGTGTGTTTCAGTCATCTTCAAAGCAAGCTGAGAAGTATTTTATGTTTAAACCACTATTAACTTTGTATTGCAATAGTCAAGGGTAAAGGTTAGATCACTGTATACATTGTCTACATTTTATCATTATTAATCTAATTTGGAATTTTTCAATAAAGAATTCTTGTGAAAAGCAACCAGCATTGTGAAACACTTTAATTTTATACAACTTTTTTTTTCTTACAATATTAGAAATTCACATAAAGCTTTGGAGTATAATGCAAATGTATGGGAAAATATGCACCTAACACTTTAAAGTATGGCTTGACACATTGCAGTGACTTTTCTGCTCTTAAACCAATGAAGGTCTGCCTGTTTTATCCATTTATATAATAGTTGTTATAGATCTACCTATACCATGCAACATTTAAAATAATGTATATGATAGAAAAGCCAAAATAAGACCATGTGGTAAAATAAATGAGAGCCTGTTACTGAAGACATAGTCCTGTGAACATGTCTTGTTTTACCACTTACTGTTTTTGTAGATGCATTATTTACATTTTTGAGATTATTTATCTGTAGTGTGGGACTGATGATGATGATGATGATACAATGACCATGGCACCACCATTTTAATGAGGCCTATTCCTCAAGTAGTTAGTCATCTATGCACACACAATAAGACATATTTTGAGTAACTCACATATTTGAAAGAATGATCTATTCATAATGCTAGTAATCACCTCCACATTTGCCTCTATGGAAGCTGGCTTTTCCTGTGGGTTTTCTCAAAGGGGAAACAAAATCAGTCCTAGCTTTTCAAACAGTGCCTCTCGTTTTGTCTGGTGAGAATGAGTTTCAGGGAGGGGTCAGATTTAACAGCGAAGACTAGTTGAATACTACTGTTGTTCCAAGGAAGGTACACAAAATGACACTGACATCCAAATACTCATTCCTTCTATCTATATATAGCAAGAAATGCATGTCCTGTTTCAAGATGATAATTATAGCAACTGATACGAAGAGTCTTAGGTTAAAATAGTTGAAGCACAGTGTTAGAAGCTAACTGTCCTTGGACCCACCTATTTCTATTTTGGGAATAAGAAATTTAGGTAGCATTGTTTGTGAATTTCCAGGGAGAAATGTGGCAGCTTGGTCTTCATATTATATTGTAGGCACCTGACACTGCTACAGCCTCACTTTGCCCACAGGTACTCTGTCTTCCTGAAAAAGAGTGTGACACTTGCAGGCCTGGATTTTAAAAAACAGCTCTTGCTTTGATTAGTCATACAATCCCATGTACCCCCTACAAAGCTACTTACTACGTCCTTTCTGATCCAGCCCATTCTTTATGAGGCTTTATCAGAACTGGAGCTTTATCTTTGCTTTCTACAAAAAATGGCGTTCAAACACCTTAGAGAGTTCTACTTTAAGTTATCCTATTATTTTTGTTGTTGTTGTTTTGTGTGTTTTTTTTGTATTTTTCTTTCTTTTTTTTTGTGTTTTTAAGTTATCTTATTATTTTGTTGTTTAGTAAGCAACACTTAGGTATATCTCAGTTGGCTTCATTTTTACTTTGATATATTTCAGGTTTTCTCCTTTTTCTCCTTTTTCCTTTTCTGTACTTGACCATTATTTTGGCCTTTGGGTCTGTGATTTAAGAAATGCACATTTTATTTTAGTTAGGCATAAAACAGTAGAAAAAAATATGAAAACATAAAACAAATCCTTTATTTCTAGTATGCTTCCCAGAACCTTGGTAATTGTTTATTTTTGCTATGCCGCACGCTGTTTTTCCAGACTGAAAATCAAACAACTGAAACCATGAGTCAAATCTATTAGCAACGAACTCCTCCAACAGCACTGATGTCACAGGCCCCTGGAAGAATCCACATAGTTGACATTACTCTGGCCATTTAGTTGCCATGCAGCGAAGCAAAGGCAAGTGATGGAAATAGTATTTTTTAGTAAGGTAGCACTATAGGTAGTTATACTAAATCAATGACGAACAAACAGCAGGGAAGATCCTGCATGGGGTTTCAGTTATATTTACCACTTCATCACTTTGTCTAGTAAAGTTTTGGGCACTCATCAAATATGTGTTGAATATTTTGTTGAACACTGATGACTTGTTCAAATGCGTTCACAGTTATTTCTGTTTAACCAAAGTTTAAGTCAATTAAGGTTGAGTCATTTTTTAAAAGCTGGTTGATCTTTCTTTTATTCTTTCTTCCTTTTGTGAACAAAGTACTTAATTTTCGATATTGTGAAAGGCATTTCAAGTGTATCTAAGAGAAACAAACTTGGATTAAAAGGAGAGAATATGTATTTTAGTCTAAGATCTGTCAGTTTTTGTGAATTAAGACAAATCATCTAGAGGTATCTAAAGGTTTATACTTCAGTTTCCTACTGTGTAATAACACTGTTCTTGTTATTTCATATCATTGTTATGAAAATAAGAGCATAATTATGAAAGTTCTTTGTAAAACTAAAAATCCCTCTACAGATACAGGACTTATAGTCTAAATATAAAAGTATATTATACTTCTGGGGACATAAAATGGACATCAGGGATAACGTTGCATTTGGTTGTCTATTCTGTATATACAGACACACATTTTAGTATATGCAGAATGTGATGCTAGGCACTTCTGGGTATGTTAAGATGGGTGGGACATGTGGTTCTAGTCCCAAAAGTTTACCACTGTGTAGAGACAAACAAGTAGAGAGATGAGACCTAAGAAGGCTGTGGAGGAGGAGGTCAGAGAACAAAGACACGCACACGCACACACACACACACACACACACACACACACGAGCTTTGAAAAGAGAAAATGGTTTCACATTAATGGATCATCAACCTAGAGTAGTTTCTCCATATCTGTGAAGGATTTTTTTTTTTCAGATGAAATCTCACTCTGTTGCCCAGACTGGAGTGCAGTGGTGCCATCTCAGCTCACTGCAACCTCTGCCTCCTATGTACAAGCGATTCTCCTGCCTCAGCCTCCCACATAGCTAGCAGTACAGGTGTGTGCCACCATGTCTCACTAATTTTTGTATTTTTAGTAGGGACGGGGTTTCACCATGTTGGCCAAGCTGGTCTTGAACTCCTGACCTCAAGTGGTCTGCCCGCCTTGGCCTCCCAAAGTGCTGGGATTACAGGCGTGAGCCATCACGCCCGGCCAGTGGAGAATACGCTCTAAGATCGACAGTGGTGAGTGCCTGAAAACACAACGAATACAGAACTCTATGTATGCTGGGTTTTTTTTCCTATACATAGATACTTACGCTAAAGTTTAATTTATAAATAAAGCACAGAAAGCAATTAGCAACAATATTAACAATGAAGAACAATTATAACAACATATCGGCATCAATATTCTTGTGGCCACCATTAAATATAATAAAGGTTCCTTGAACACAAACACTGTGATACCATCATGATTGATCTGACAATCAGGCAAACCACTAAATGTTCAAATAGGCTGGTGACATATGCAGAGTGAATATGCTAAACAAAGGGGTGATTTATGATCCAAGTAGAACAGAGCAGGGTGACCCAGAATTTCATCACACTACTCAGAATGGCATGTAGTTTAAACTTATGAATTGTTTCCTGCTAGGATTTTCCATTTAATATTTTTTGACTAGGGTAACAAGTAAAACCATGTGTAAGGGAGATTATCGTTTAAGAACCTTCCTTTTTCTTCTAGTCTCTTATAATTCTGACTTCTTACATATCTCAAATTGATAGTGCTAAGGCAAAGAGATTGTCACTATTCTTAGTACCTTATTTAATATAAACCAAGCATAATTATAATCAGGACTTACAATAAAGCTCTATATTGGCAACCAAAGTAAATTTTGAATTATTGAAAATTCAGTATTGTATTCTATTCTCTCTGAAAAGAATTGATCTTTTCATATGCATTTGTGTTTTGTTCCAATTTCTAATTGAAGTTGCTAATGCATAA